AGGATATAAACAGGCACTTCTGGAAAGAAGAAATTTACATGGCCAACAAACATGAAAAAAAGCTCAGCATCACTCATCATCAGAGAAATGCAAATCAAAACCACGATGAAATACTATCTCATACCAGTCAGAATGGTGATTATTAAAAAGTCAGGACACAATAGATGCTGGAGAATCTTTGGAGTAATAGAAGTGCTTTACATTGTTGGTGGGAATGTAAATTAGTTCAACCACTGTGGAAGACAGTATAGCAGTTCTTCAAGGATCTAGAACCAGAAATACCATTTGACCCAGCAATCCCATTACTGGGTATATAACCAAAGGATTATAAATCATTCTACTATAAAGACACATGCACATGTATGTTTACTGCAGCACTATTTACAATAGGAAAGCCATGAACCCAACCCAAATGCCATGAATGATAGACTGGATAAAGGAAATGTACATATACACCATGGAATACTATGCATCCATAAGAAGGAATGAGATCATGTCCTTTGAAGGGACAGGGATGAAGCAAGAAAACATCATCCTCAGCAAACTAACACAGGAACAGAAAACCAAATATTACATGCTCTCACTCATAAGTGGGAGTAGAACATTGAGAATATATGGACACAGAGAGGGGAATAATGCACACCAGGGCCTGTTGCAGGGTTGGGGGGTGAGGGGAGGGAACTTAGAGGATGGGTCAGTTGGTGCAGCAAACCACCATGGCACACGCATGCCTATGTAACAAACTTGCACTCTCTGCACATATATCCCATTGTTTTTATTAGAAGAAATAAGTAAAAATAAAATATAATGAATGTAAAAAAAGTAGATTATTAACTCCTTTATTTCTTTTATTGTTAGATTCATGCTATTTCTTCTTTATTCATATACATATATATCCACTAACAAACCATCCAAAAAGGAAATTAAGAAAATAATCTTAGCTGGGCATAGTGGCTCATGCCTATAATCTCCGCACTTTAGGAGGTGGAGGTGGAGGTGGATACAGCAGAATCCCTTGAGCTCAGAAATTTGAAGCCAGTCTGGGCACCATAGTGAAACCTTATCTCTATTAATAAAGAAAACTTAACCGAGTGTGGTGGTGCTCCTGTAGTCCCAGCTACTTAGGAGGCCAAAGTGATAGAATTACTTGAACCTGGGATGTCAAGGCTGCAGTAAGCCATGATCATGGCACTGCACTCCAGGCTGAGCAACCTTGCTTTTTTAAAACATAATTTCATTTTAATATCATAAAATAAAATATCTAGGAATGAAATTAACCAATGAAGTAGAGGTTTATATACTGAAAACTATAAAACACTAATAAAAAAATTAAAGCTAGAAAGTCATCTCATGTTCATAGATTGGAAGAACTAATATTGGTATAATGTCCATAATACCCAATGTGATCTACAGATTGAATTCAGTGTCTCTCAAAATCCCAATGGCATTTTTTACAGAAACTGAAATAACAATTCTAGAATTAATACCGAAACACAAAAGATCCTGAACAGCCAAGGTAACCTAAACATGATAAGTAAAACTAGAGGCATCATACTTCTTGATTTCAAAATGATATAAAATTTAAAATATATTTCAAAGCTATAGTAATCAAAACAAAATGGTACTGGCATAAAAACAGACATATAAACCAATAAGCAGAACAGAAATCTCAGAAACACACACACATACACATTTAAGGTTATAAGGTTAAAATAAAATCATACCCTTATCTTACACCATACACAAAAATTAACTCTAATATGTAAAACTCTATATGTAAAACCCAAAACCATAAAATTTATAGAAGAAAACATAGTGAAAAATCTTCTTGACATTGTTCTTGGCAATGATTTCTAAAGGCAACTAAAAAAAAACTAGACAATTGTGACTATATTAAACCTAAGGTTTGTGCATGGCAAAGGAAACCACCAACAAAATGAAAAGGCAATCTGTGGCATGTAAGAAGTATTTGCAAACCATATATCTGATTAAGGGTGAATATCAAAAATAGAAAACTCCTACAACGAAATAACAAATTATAATAATTACCCTATGAAAAAAATAGGGAAGAGACCTGAATAAGCATTATTCCAAAAGAGTAATGGCACAGATATATATGAAAAAGTGCTCAACATCACTCGTCATCAGAGAAATGCAAATTAAAGCCACAATGACATATCACCTCACACCAGTTAACATGGCTATGATAAAATAAATAAATAAATAAATATTGGTGAGAATGTGGAGAAAAGGGAACCCTCATATACTGTTGGTGGAAATGTAAACTGGTATAGTCTCTATGGAAAGTAGTATGAAAGTTCCTCAAAAAATGAAAAATAAAACTACCATATGATTTGGCAATCCTACTTCTGAGTATATATTCAAAAGTATTAAACTCGAGATCCTAAAGAAATGTTTGCAACCCCATGTTCATTGCAGTATTATTCATAATAACCAAGACATGAAAGTAACCTAAATTTCCATCAGTGAATGAATGGATAAGGAAAATGTGATATGTATGTGTACACAATAGAATATTATTCAGCCTTAAAAATAAAAGGAAATCCTGTCATTTGCCAGAATGTAGATGAACTTGGAGGACAATATACTAAATGAAATAAACCAGACATAAGAGAACAAATACTACGTGATACCACTCAGATGAGGAATTTTCAATAGTCAAACTCAAAAGAGCCAAATAGTAGAATGGTGGTAGCTAAGGGCTGGGGGTGAGGGGAGATAACAAATGGGAGGTATTACTCAAAGAGTTCAAAACTTCAGTTGCAGAGATGACTAAGTCCTAGAAATCTAATGTACAGTATAGTGCCTATAGTTAATAATACTGTAGTTTATAATTAAAAATTTGCATATTATTCCATGGTATGTATATGCCACATTTTCCTTATCCAGTCTATTCTTGACGGGCATTTAGGTTGCTAAAAAAGGATGAGTTCATGTCCTTTTCAGGGACATGGATGAATCTGGAAATCATCATTCTCAGCAAACTGACACAAGAACAGAAGACCAAACAACCACATGTTCTCACTCATAAGTGGGTGTTGAACAATGAGAACATATGAAAACAGGGAGGCGAACATCACACACTGGGGTCTGTTGGGGGGTGGGGCCTAGGGGACCGATAGCAGGGAGTAGGGAGATTGGGGAGGGATAACATTAGGAGAAATGCCTAATGTAGATGACGGGGGGATGGAGGCAGCAAACCACCATGGCATGTATACCTATGTAACAATCCTGCACCATCTACACATGTACCCCAGAACTTAAAATTAAAAAAACTGCTAAGAAGATAGGTCTTATGGAAGTATTCTTATCACTAATAATAATAATAATAATAATAATATAGAGGGCAGGAGAAAAGTTATTTTCATGGTTTTATGTAAAAAGATTATGCATTTTAAAAATTTCCCCTTTAAAGTTTAAATCAGTACAAAGCTTCCCACACCTATATTTTAAAAACTAAAATGTGCAATTATTAATTATTTTTACTATATAAATGTAAATCCCAAGGTTTATCTTTTAAAATGAAACCAAAAGTTTATATTGCAAGTGTAATATCACATTAAATTGGACGTATTGTATATTAATCATCTGCTTACGTATTTAAGCAACATAAATTTATGTTATAGGTGTAATATTTTTATTTTAAAATTAGACTTAATAATTTATTATTTGACTAATTTACCACCATACTTAAAAACTTTGTTATGAAAGAAAAGTTACACATGATACTGGGAACTTTTGACCTTTATTTCCTGATTTTCAATTTATGGGAAGGGAGGAGAGGGCAGATATTTTGATACAGAGGAAAAAGTGATAAAGTATTTAAGATAATGGGAATAAAGATTGTTACAATATTCAGAATATAAGTAAAACTGTTAACAATATTTCACCTCTTTAAAAAATTAGTTTAAATAGGTTTTCTAAAATCCAAACAAACAGTACTTTATTATATTCTTTCAATTAAGTCAATCACCAATTTTTTGAAATTTGGGTTCTCTCAATACAGTTCTAGTTTCAACTTGAAAAAGATAAAAGACATAAGAAGGAAATAGGAAAGAGAATGAGCGGGGAGAGGAGAAAGGCAAATTAAGATATAACACTAAGCAGGAAAATTATGAATTCATAAAAAATTTAGGTTCTTTTAGTCTTTTCCTTCAAACTGACACATTTGATAACGTTCTTATTCTGCCCCCACTACCTCTCTACCCCATTTCAAGAAGACACAATGACATAAATACTAATAGGCCTGATTCACATCCTTAATGACTATCTGAAAAAGAGTTTGTCATGATGTAGGATATGAATCATGTTCGTTGGAAGACATTTCATATTTATGGTAACTGTGGCTTGCTTGCAAGAAATGGAAATGTTAATTACAGTCTTTTTACTTCATAAAAATAAATGTTTCAGAGTTTGTTTTTGTACTTTCAAATTATTTCCTAATGAATTACACTGTCTATAAATGTGTACTCAAATGCAAAGTTACTGTAATAGATATGTATTATTGTCATTATAAATTAATGTTCCAAGCTAAATGGAAAAATATCAGTGTTCCTGGAACAATATCAGTCTGTCATAATTGAACACATATATAATATTTGTAGTGTGGAACACTTATTAATTAATGATATACAAATGACTAAATTTCTCCTGTAACTGTGAAATATGATCTTCAGTAATCACACAGACAATTTAAAATTATACTTTGTCTTTTAGTATCTTGAACACGCATGTCTTTCTATTCAATACATTTCATTGTGTGAACACTAGTTGGTTTAGTCATCTCACTCACTGTTTGCCAGGGGGTGGATGTGAGACACTTTTGTGGTTGTTCTTAATATTTTGGAACTTCATTATTGCTTATTTAAAAAAGAGCTTCCTACGTGCTCAATAACATGTACATTTGAATGGCATCAAATAAAATTAGAATAAGTTAAAAGGAGCACACCAGAGCATACTTATTTTTTGTTTGTTTAAAGGACATCGTATTTGAGGAAACATATAGAAAGAAGAGAAGTCTCTGAAACCTGAACAACAGGTTGGAAAGACTCAAAGCTGTACTAAGGTAATCCACTAGTGCTCTCTTAGCAATCTCTGATTTTCCAATTTTTAATCCTGTATTTCTTTTCTTTTTTTCCAATTAAATTTTATTGTGTATATTTAAGGTATACTTAAAAGACACAAATAGACAGTAAAAAGGGTACTATAGTGAAACAAATTCATATATATGTCATCTCACGTAAGTACCCACAGTTTTTTTGTTTTGTTTTTGTGGCGAGAGCAGCTAGAATCTACTAATTTAACATGAATCCCAAATACAATAAAATGCGATTCCTTACAGTCCTCATGTTGTACCTTAGATCTCTGGACTTGCTCATTCTACCTTTTGTCCTTTAATTATTGAATTGTGATCCTTGAAGTCTGATTATTTTACTTCATAAAAATTATTTTATAAAATAATCCTTGAGTCAATTCCTCAACCATGGGAAAAATAATAGTAGGTCTTTGGATTGTTTCACTTTGCTAAGGCTAAACTAAGCTGAATAGTAGGAATTGCAGGGTTAAAAGAGCCTCAAACGTTAATCTTAAATAAGTCCCTAGCTCAGATTACCATCTCAGGCTGGTGAGCCATCCTCCCTACCATTCAATAATCAATCTGACAATTTTGAGGACAAGGATGCAGCATCATGGGAGACAACAAAAATACTCAAAACATTCCTAGAGACTTGAAAATGAAACTAATTAGAGTCATATTATAAAGAAATTGAAAGGGTGTAAGAAACAAATGGGTAAATGAAAAGTGTTATTTGCTGCTAATAAGAATTTACATGACTCTTCTCAGCTGTTCACTGCCTCACATTTTAGAATCATTACTAAAAATTTCTTTCCTCAAATCCCGCTATCAACATTGAAAAAAAAATCAAGAAACTGTGAGGATATAAAATATATCAGATAACACACTTGCAGTTTATTTATTTATAGAAATTATTAGTAGTTTGAGGTAGAGTCTCCCCCTGTCACCCAGGCTGGAGTGCAGTGGCAAGATCTCTGATAATTGCATCCTCCACCTCCTAGGTTGAATCAATTCTCCTGCCTTAGTCTCTTGAGTAGCTAGTGGCATGAGCCACCACACCTGGCTAATTTTTGTATTTTTAGTAGAAATGGGGTTTTGCCATGTTGACCAGGTCGGTCTCAAATCCCTGGGCTCAGACAATTGCAATTCAGAGAAGACTTTTCTGCCTTTTAATAAAGTAATATTAAAATATTCAAAAGTGTTTATTTATTGGTAGACATCTTTAGGAAATCATGATAACATTGCTATGTGCCAGGTATGATGATGGCAAGTCAATTAATCTTTTTCTTCTCCATTGATAAACTGAATATTATAATAGGAGCAACCTCATAAATGTGTTATATAAATTAAATGTATGAATGCATGCAATGCCCTTTAAAAACAACTTGGGAGCAAAGTAAGAACTCAAAAATGGTAGAGATTTTTATTATAATTAAACAATATTTGTTAGGAGAAACAAGAGGATTTAAATAAATATAGGACAATAAACACTGGGGACTATAAGTGGGGGGGGTAGGGAGGGAAAGGCTTGAAAAGCTAACTATTTGGGTACTATGCTCACTACCTGGGTAATGGGATTAATCCCACCACAACCCCAGCATCATGCAATATACCCATGTAACAAACCAGCACATGTACCCCCTGAATCTAAAATAAAAGTTGAAATTATTAAAAAGTGAATAAATAGGCCGGGCCTGGTGGTTCACGTCTGTAATCCCAGCACTTTGGGAGGCCAAGGCGGGTGGATCACCTGAGGTCAGGAGTTCAAGATCAGCCTGGCCACCATGGCGAAACTCCATCTGTACTAAAAATACAAAAAATTAGCCGGGTGTGATGGCATCCCTGTAATCCCAGCTACTCAGGAGGCTGAGGCAGGAGAATTGCTTGAACTCGGGTGGTGGAGGTTGCAGTGAGCCGAGATTGTGCCATTGCACTCACGCCTGGGCAACAAGAGCGAAACTCCATCTCAAGAGAGAAAAAAAAGAAAATGAAAAAAATGAATGAATGAATAACAAACAAACAAACAAACAAACAAATAAGTATATAAATAAAGGGAAAGCGCTCTGGGCATTCAAAGGAGGAAGAGATTCTTTCTTCCAAACGTCACCATAATGCCTCCCTCCTTCCTCCCATTACTATCTCAGAAGTTAGATTACTTGTTAAAGAGTTTGAGTTTATAGCACCCAGACCTTTAGTTCCTTAGGTCCACTACATAAAGAAGCCTTAAGCAAGCTAATTGATCTCTTCAAGAACTGACTTCTTACTGCAATATATATAAAATGTTTGGTACATAATTACTAATTCATGCATATTGATTTCTCATTAAAAGTCTCATTTTAATAGAATATGACATTGATTGAATGCTGTTTTGGGGTGTTAGAAGAAAAGAAGGCATTAAAAATCAGAAAGAATTTGCTCAGATGAAAATAATTCAGCTGAATTTATTAAAAGATAGAGTAAATTGGAGAAAATAATAAGGATTATTCAAAACGTATTAGTCATGTTAGTGACCTAAAAATATTAGTACTGTATGTATAATCTATGGCAAGAAAAATGTCAAACTTTGGGGTCTTGAATGTTTTCAATGATCATTCTGATTTTCATTTTTATATTATTTCGATATGTATGTATGACCTTTTGTGAAAATGAAAAGAAAATGCATCCTGCTCCCACAGGGATTGGGAATTATGATTATTTTTCTGTTTGTGATCATTAAGAATGGAAATGACTATTTCAGACTAGGAAAAGCAACTAAGTTCATGATGATGACTATATAGTATAGTATTATCTATAACTATCTATCTATATCTATCTATCTAGTATATGTATATATATGGCTTATATATCTATATGGTTTATATATATGATTTATATATCTATATGGTTTATATATACCTAGTGTGTGTGTGTGTATATATACGTATATATATATATATAAAACCCCCATACACATTGACTTTTAGTAAAATACTTTCATTGGTGAGAAATTTAAGAGAAGTAAGCTTTTGAAAATTTAGTGACAACACACTAAAATGAAAAAAAATTGACAACAGAAAAGCTCAAGGAAATAATAAAAATATATTACTAAAATATTTATAGTATAATATACATTATTTTATGTGTTTAAGTACTTTATATTACATATTTTATATTATAAATAATATATTTATGTGTATGATTTTATATATGATTATATATAAAATATGTAAATAATTATATATAAATATACATTCATGTTTTATACCATTATATTTACATATTTATTTCCATGTCCTTCATATAGTTGATTTATATTTATGTATTTTATGTTTATTTTATTATTTGTTCTTCCATTACATTTGCTTTTCTTTTTTCCTTTCTTTTTTTTTTTTTGGCAGAAAGTGTATTTATTTAGGTAGAGAAAGAGGAAAAAAAGGAGAAGAGAGGAAACTTCCACAAAGAGTGGGAAGGGGACTCCAGAGGGGAATCCAGAGAAGGAAACTCCCTTCACACTGAGTGAGAGAATCCAGAAAGATGGAACCCAGAAGAGGAAAGACAGCTTCCACTCTGGGTGGAAGAGAATTGAAAGAGAAAGAGATGGAGTTTAGGAGGGGAAGACAGGCTTCCAGGAGAGAGTGTTCGTGCAAGGGGTCTTTGTTTTTTTTTTTAAGTCTCCGTAAACACTCTTAACCTTTCAGATCGTTGTTATGTTATCTCAAACTCATGGAATTCTAGTCTATGAACTGATTAAGCTTATTGACTCAAGCGCCAGATTGTCTAGGTTCTAATTCCATGTCTGCCATTTACAGCTTGTGTGATCTTGAACAAGTTATGTAACATCTCTGCACCTCAGTTTCACATTCAAAAACTGGGATAACAATAACACTTAGCTCATTGAGTTGCTGTAAGGATTAAAATAGTTTTTAAGTAAGAGTCGAGGACCTGAAAGGATCTGTGGTATGGAGAGTCTGCTATCATCACTAAGTTTTTAGCTCCTGTAGGCTGGGTTCGTTCTTTTGCTTGCCTGTTCACGATATCTGGAGATAACTGTCTTCTTTCTCTACCAAAGCTATTTATTAAACATGTAACACTTTATATAGAATTGCTAGGTGTTTGCAGTTGAAGGGTTTCACATTAGCCAAGCTTGGCATCTTGCTGAATGTGGAATCCATTCAGGATAGTATTTCTTATATCTACATTTGGACAGAACTTCTACCAAAGGTAAAAGTTTATGTTAGTTTAACTTATTTTCTTTTACTGTGTGGACCTTTTACTATAGGCCCACACAGTTAAAGAAAATAAGTTAAATTAAAGTAATTGAGGCAATTCCTTTTGTATTTTCCAGAATTATGCAAGTGGTTCTTCCAATTCAAAGAAATCAAGAATTTTATGAAAATAATATCTGCCTTGGATATTTTCTTATGGAAACAAACAAAATTACCCAACATTTTATATATATATATATATATATAATTTTATTTATATATATATATATATAAAATGTTGGGTAATTAATATATATATATTAATTTTAGGGTCGGAAAACACCTTCAAGTTGATTTGTTTCTCTTGGGGTTTTGTTTTTTAATTTGCAAGAAAACATTTGGCTACTGTTTTGTTTTGTTTTTTTAAATATGCCTTTACAGACTTAGAGGCCATTCATTCTATGGATTGTTAAAACACCCTTCAACCTGCCTATAATAGATCATTTTATTTAAAAAATTATAAATATATATATATGTATACACATATAAAATTATATATATATATATATATACATATATATATATATAATGTTGGGAAATTTTATGTTTGTTTCCATAAGAAAATATATATGTATATTTATTTTTTTGTTTTTTATTAAAACAAAAATATATATATATTTATTTTTTTGTTTTTTATTAAAACAAAAATATATATATATATATATATTTGTTGTTGTTGTTGTTTTATTTTTGAGACAGAGTCTCACTCTGTCGCTCAGGCTGGAGTATAGTGGAGTGATCTTGACT